GTGTCTGGTGGGCCAGTCTATAGTCCACCCTCATCCCACAAGCCATGGGGGACTCTAGGCTGACAGCTCCTGCACGGAGGCACTTCTGCAGGTGTGCAACTTGCACACTTCACAGACCCCCTGAGGCTTGGCCTTTCTGTCGGCAGAGGGAAACCCCGGCACACACCTGCCCCGAGTGCCCCAAGCTGCAGCCCCTCCAGCCCTGGCTGCACTTCTCCCCACACCTCTTCTCTCACGCGCTCCCCATCCGTGGCCCCACCGAGCCCCGGGACCGCCTGGCTGCGGCCAAACCTGACATCTAGCAGACCAGGAAGGAGGCTCTGGCCGGGGGAACCTGGGTGATGGTGGTCCCTCCATTCACATCTCTCCTGGGTTTTGCTGGATGGTGTCCACACCCCTCCCTGGACACGCGTGTGCAAAGCACACAAGCTACTAGGTAGACACGTAGAGCCCACACATCTGCAGACCAACATAGCAGGTGGCCTGCCAAGAACTTGCACACACGTGTCAAGCCCCGCACTGCACGGGAAGCATGCATCGCTGCCTGCCCACCGCTGCTGTTGAGCCAGCCACAGGCCGTCCTGTACCCAGAGCTGTACTGTGTCAGGGGACCAGCATACAGCACAATTCAAAGATTTAAAGTACACAAGATCTAACTGAGCTCTGTTAAGCAGGGTCAAACCCAGGCAGCACAAGGCCTTAGACTGGTTACGGCTCCTGTTAAATCCCTGATCGTCGTCCGGCTCCATGCATCTCTGTTGCATCATTTAACATGTATTACACTGCTTTGTATTCCTTTTTCTTGCACCGTTTGGAAGCCTGATACTGGAGAAGCCAGAAAAGAGGACCATAAATCGCAACAGGCTGGAAGTAAATGGGAAACGAGAGGGTCCGCAAGGGAATTGGGAAGAGAAATGGCTAAGGAAAGTTTTTAAGAACAGGTTAAGATCAGTGATTCTCAAGCAGGGCGCCACCGCACCCCGGGGTGCCTCGAGCTCCTTGCAGGGGGCCATGCAGTCTTAGCGCTGTGAGGAGGGCAAAAAACGTTTCACAAGATGCACCCAGAGCGTTCATATAGGAGTCCAGGGTGTCAAAAACCTTTCTGACCTGTTGTGGGCTGGCTGAGCAGTTTTCCACAAAAGAAGTGCTCTATTAGTTTTCTGTAGTCAAAAAATGAGTGAAACCTAAGAGCTGGCATTTTCTGAAGGATGCCTGGAGTCTATCAATACTTGTGTGCCTCGAGTTTGTCGAGAGGTGCCTCAAGTCGATCGAATAGTGCCTGCAGGTCCATCAAGAAGCACCTCAAGTCAATTGAGGCGCCTCGAGTCCATCAAGAGGCCCCTCGAGTCCATCAATAGATGCCTTGATCTATCAAGAGGTGCCTCAAGTCTATCAATAGGCGCCTTGAGTCCATCAAGAGGCACCTTGGGTCTTTCAAGAGGTAGGCCCTCTTGTTTCCCATTTACTTCCAACCCATTGCAATTTATGCTCCTGTTTATTAGCTTCTCAAGCATCAGGCTCGATAGGCGCCATGAGCGTATCCAGAGGCGCCTCGAGTCTATCAAGGGGCGCCACAAGTCTAAGAAGGTGGAGAAGCGCTAGGTTAGACAAACGCTTGGCTGGGATGGTTCGAACAAGGCTGATCCCACCTTGAGCAGGGAGTCAGCCTAAATGTGACCGCCAGAGAGCCCTGGTCTCTGATCCTACCTCGGGGTTCGGGAGTACGTTCAAAGCAGGAAGCTGCTAACGACCCAGTGATGCCACGAGACCCACGAGAGCTGAAGGGACGGGTTCGAGAAGAAAGGGACACTGCTGAGAAGTCTGTGCCCCGTTGTCAGAGGTAAGGATGGTTGGGGAGGTGCCTATCCCGCCCCCCGCCTGCAGGTTGTTGGCTATGAGGCGGGTGCTTGGAGACCCAAAAAGTGCCCCCGCTCCACACCTGCGTTTTGCAGAGGTGGACGAGGGTCCCTCTCTCCAGGTGACTGTCAGAGGCAGGCGCAAAGCCACCACCCTCAAATCCGGGGGGGACATCACACGGATCAGACTCATCCCTGCGCGTCGGCCACAGCCTTTCACTCTGAAACCCAGGCTGCTGTTTCTCCAGCTCCAGGGCCCCGGCCTCCGCATCGTCCTCGCACCTGAAAACTGCTCACACGGGGGTGGGCTCCGCTGTACAAAGCAAGCTGGAGGATCGGGCTTGTAGGACACCAGCTCCTAGGCCGGGATCCATCGTCCCTTGTGCCGTGGTGCACGCAGAGCCAGCAGCATGAGTAAGCCAGCGCTGCTCCTGCTGCGGGCAGGGGGACGGAGGAGACGCAGCAGAGCGGGACTTCTGCAACAAAGCATCCCAGAGAAAGCAGCAGCTCACGCCGCAGACCTTCAGATAGGCCTTAGGATCATGCGATCATAGGAAAGTCGGGCTGGAAGGGACTTGACAAGGTCCCATCTAGTCCAGCCCCTGCTCCCGGCAGGATCAGCCCTGACTAAGCCAGCCCCGTGTCTGCCCAACCCGCTCTTTAAAACTTCCAAGCATGGACGTCCCACAATGTCCGTATTATCCTGTGCTAAAAGCCAATGCTTGACCACGCTCAGAGTCAGAAAGTCCCTCCTCATCTCCAGCCTCAATTTCCCCATGTTACTCCTAGTCCCGTCCCCTGCAGCCACAGAGAAGAGTCCACCTTATGGGATGAACTAGGTCTAGGAAGATAGGGAGAAGGACCAAAGGATGTGGCAAGAAAACATCAGAGGTGAGAAGGTTTCAGAAGCAGGGTAGCACGGGGAGACCTGCAACAGCAGGCGAGAGGACTTGAGAGGTGAGAAAGACTGAGCTGGGGGCTGGCTAGACCGAGTGAGCGTACCGCACGCTGGGTACGTTGAGATACAGCGGCTCACCCCAGGGGCAGATACAGCTTTATATTAATGGGAAGCAAATGCAAGTAGGGGCTCTGCCCTCAGCTCACGCTGGGGTGCCTGGCTGCAGGTGTCCCAAGACCTTCATGTCTTCGGGACAGAGTCTCTCGGGCTTGGGTAAGGCTGCCCTTGCAAGCCGGGCACTGCCAGGGGTGCTTAGGAGTGTGGGGCTCAGCCATGATCGGTGTTAAGATCCCCTTGTATCTGTTAGGTCTCGGAGTACTTCGCTCCGCAGAGATCCACGTAGTCCATCCTGGACTAGACAGCACCTCGGGAGGTCCCGTCCGGCCCCACTCCTCGAGCGTCGGGCGTTAAACTGATCCACGACGAGGATTTCCCGGCAGGTCCCGCGACGAGCAGCTCAGGGCCTCGCCCGTGGGCTGAGGGACAGACGCCAGAGGTGATTTAAGCCACTGTGACATCACAGGTGATGCGAGCAGGGCAGGTGCCCAGGAGAGGCTCAGGGACCACACGGGCGCTTGCCGTACCAGCATGAAGAGCTCCTCTACCTTCACCACCGGGCACAGCGGGTTGCAGCGGGTGGGAAGTCCAACGCCCTTGACTGCGGCACGAGGCCCCTTAGCCGCTGACGCCGACCCCGCCGGGCGTCCCCGAGCCCCGTGAAGAGGAGGATTCCCCGGCAAGAGCAGCGTCAGGATGTTCCTCTTTGCCCGTAAAACCAAGACCCCCATCAGCACCTACACAGACTCCTACAGGCCACCCAACAGCATGAGGAAAACCTTCCAGGAGCCTCCCATGACGCTGGTGAAAGAGAACAAGTTTGTGACAGAGGTAAAGCGCGTGCTCACCCAGGCACCGGCCTCTGGTGACCCTCGAGCAGGGGGCCCCAGCACCCCGGGGTGCCTCGAGACCCTTGCAAGGATACCCACTGTCCATCGCGCGAGAATGGCTCTAGTATTTCTAGTGCAAGCTGGGAGTTGGCATTTTCTGCGGGGGTCTGGAGCCTGGCAAGGGGGTACCTCGAGTCACAAAGGGTGGAGAACTGCTGGGCTCGGCGCTGTCCCCACGGGCCGCGAGATGCGCCACGCGGGACTCCAGCGTGGCACCTGGGTGCCGGCCTTGAGCTAAGCAAAGTGAAGCCAGACCTTTCCACCTGCTGCTTTGGGCAGCAGAGCCCGTCCCAGGGGAGCAGCATTGCTTTACGTGCCCAAAAGCTGCAGTTAGGCAGTCAGGTGCCCTCCTGCCGTTGAGTGCCGGTGGCTGCGACGTGGAGAGGGAAGCGGTCCTCACCCCTGGTTTTTCTACAGCACTGTGTATCAGCAGCGCTCACAGCACGCTGCTGAGGTTGCTGGTGTTATCATCACCATTTTACAGATGGGGAAACTGAGGCACGTAGGAGGGAAGCCACTTGACTAGAGCTCAGGTGGGCTGGGTGCACACCGGCACTGCGCCCGGGGTTGTTCCCTTCCTGCTGCGCGGGTCTCATGGGCATCGACCAGGAGCAATCCCTGCCCGGTCCAGGTGGCAACTTTGTCCACGCTGCAGTGGCTGGAGCAGCGGTGTCCTCGGGGCGGGGCCCTGGGGCCACCCCCTTGGGGCAGGGACTTCATGGTGCAGCACCTGCCTCGGCTCCAGCCAGCCCCGCTCCATCCCTGCCGGTCTCAGCCTCGTGGACCTGGCTCCCTCTCCTGGCCAGAGGACGGCAGAAGCATCAGGCAGCTTCCCGGGGTCGGAGCCTGAGGTCTTCCTCCACGCTGTCAGGACAATCCTCCAGCTCCTGGAGGGTCTCCCCGCGTACCCCATCCTGCCCCATCCCCGCACGGCTCTCCCATACGCTGGGCCTG